AAAGTTGGTACCAACCCACTTATTATTTTTTATATACAGTCTGGAATTTAAGTTGCCTGATAAGAACATTATTCAAGCTAAAATATTTCTGTGAAATAGACAATACATCCCTCTATTTGCATGAAAAAAGTTTCAAGCAAAATAACTGTCTACAGATTTTCATAAAAAAGCTTTGGCACGTAGGTAGTCTCCAAATGAGCCTTTCAATTTTGCTGGAGATAATCCTTTATTTCCAAATTGTTTAGGACAATGAAGCTTATGAAATTTAAATTGCTTTATCAAGTGCTGGAAAATTAATCCTAGATTAAAAATACATTTTAAAATGTTATTAGGGTTGTCATGCTACTAATAACAAGCCAACCTTTTCCCTCTATTTTCAGACAGGAGACAAATTCAATTACATTTTTGCTAATTGTCTGATGTATGTTCTTTTTGTAATGCATATTACTTAAAATGTTTCAAGTTCATACTTGCTAGCTGGAGACAGCTGTATGGCTAAGATTTGGTGTATCAGGTGGAAAATACAACTGATCATCAAGACATCAGCCTATGAAGACCTGTGCACACACTTTTTTAGGAAAATCAGTTGCAACTTTCTGAAAGCAGTTAGATGCAAAAATGTTAAACATCAATTACTTTCACAGCAGAAATATCATTCTCTCTTTCCAATTAAGCAAATCAGTCATGATGAAGTAACATTGTGTCCAGTATTTTCCATGAGAAACAACCCAAGGGAATGTGTCCCAAGCCAAGAATTTTTTCCACTTTAGAGAGAATCAGATGTGTGTGTGATGGTTGAAACACTGCCAAGGGCAAGCATTCAATGGCACATTCAGTCCAATGTCCTTGTCTTCCTCTTCAAGGACTGTAATGGGCATTGGCATTAATATTTCAAGGACTTCCTCTAATTTCACATCCCTCCAAGTATAAGCAGCAATCACCTAAGGAGATATTATTACTGAATAGTTGCTAAGCTTCCTTTTACAGGAAATTAAATGGGATCATTGCTAGCCTCCCACTTAATAAAAAGCAATACATACATACCTCTTTGCCTGGATTTCTGAGTGAAGATAAGAATCTTTAGGTCAGTAAATTTTCCATTTTTAAGCTCTTGTCTCTGGATATTGTCTTCAAATCTAGCTCTCTTAAGCCTGGAAAATAATATACAGTGGCATTGCCAACTCATATATTTTTTACCACTACTCCTTTTGTGTTGTTTTGTTGTTTTTGTTGTTTTTTTTTTTTCTCTGACTCTACTTCCTGCAATCAAATGGCTATAGCAGAATCTTTGCCTCCGTTATTAAAAGACAGAGTTACTAGAGATCACAGCTCTGTGTCAGGACAGTGGGCAGGAGAGAAGGGGAGTTCAGAGGCCTTGAAACTGTGAAATTTAAAGGTTTAAAATTTATTTCAAAGTATCTCTTCCTGATTTTGGATTAGAACTGCTTCTTTTGTTTTAAGTGTTGGAAGATGACATTACTGATATGCTCATTTAACACAATCCTGTTCATTCTTAGGTCCGTTCTGGTAATAAAAACCAGCCTCCTGTATGTTTCAGGGATTCCTGATGGGTAATAAGAATTCTTTACTGCTTTTACTTGCATTATTAGGAGCAGAGAAGTCGAAGTTGTATAAACAAAAGCAAACTCAACCATCTGAAAATCAGTTGTCCTAAACTTTCACTATCTAAATTGGTTTCTGCACTGTTCACTCACTATTCAGCAGCTTTAGTACCATTACCTGCTTTCAGTAGCTTCCCGAATGAGGGTCTTACAGGTATCTAAGACTTGATAGCCCTCCTAGGCTAGTTAGCTGTGACTGATCTCCTCTGATGGCCATATCTCCCAGCCCTTGAAAACACCATCACCTATGTTTATCTCTAGTACCTGAAAAACCTAAATTGGATGTATGTTTTTAGCTAATAAAACATGTTGAAATGCTTGGTGGTTCAGAGCCTACAAAACTTTACCACTGCAAGTAATTAGGATACAGTAAGCAGTACAAACATTTATAATAATTATGCAGTGAGTGTACAAACATATTATGGGTTTAAAGACCCTAAGTAAACTTGCTGTCTGAATGCAAATGTAAGGCTGCAGCATGAAGCAGCATTGCCAGCTGAATCAGATACAGTACTTGTTCATGGCCATGGCTGAGATGTCCCTGCAAAGCAGTTTGTGATGCAGTAACCTACGTTAGAACAGTATGATTCTTTATTCCCCTCTAGTGGCTAGTCTGCATAGTATTAGTTACTAGTTGAGGGCTAGGACTACACCAGACTTTTGGGACAGCAGGACATGCCAAAAGGTTTTGGTTCAGTCCCTGTTGCCATCCTCACTGCCAGAATGCCAATAGTGCACAGAAAAATGGTCTGTGCTCTGGCAGTGATACAGAACGAGGAGAAAGGAACAGTTTTTGAAGGGTTGAAATTTTATGTTCTTAGTCACTACCATGGAATTAAATTAATAGTTTTATCACTCAGAAAGGAAGAAGAATGTAACTGTCAGTTCGTGTTGCAAGTCTTTTATTTAATTACTTTAGTCCCTTGGTGTCAGTGAAGCTGAATATGAACCTGGCCAATCCATCTCCAGGAGGGTACTAAGAGTTCTGCTTTGCAGCTGAACTGCAAAGCAGAACTCTGAATAAAGCCTCTCTGCAGTCTTCCATACTGCAAATAAGAGTAAATTCTCAGAGCATATTCATCATTGAAATATACTTAATATTTACAGCCAACTATATTACCAATATTTTCATAAGTACTGCTACTTCTACTTATGTTTTATATTAATGTGTAGCCAAACAGAAAGAAAACAACTATAAAGGTGCTAAAAATGGATATAAGCTGCACTAAAGTCTTGAAAAAGCAGTGATTTCTATTAATGGTTCAATCGCTAATATGATATGAGCTAGATTCTTCAAGTTGAGATGGAATTTTTTTTTCTGAACAGGATGAGAACATTCCAGAACAAATCATTGGAAACAGGAAAGTGAGCATGATACATGAAAACAAATTACAAAATACATCTGAAAATAAGAGTCAAGGAAGTAGACACTCATCCTCAAGCAGACTGGGAGTTTATGAATCTTGGATTTTCCAGTGATTTCGTCTTGTCCTTATTGAGAGCCTGAGGATAATGCAAACTTTCAAGTTCCCAGGAGCTCCTGCTCTGCAGAGAATAGGAAGAGGCTGTTCGTGGTCAAGATCAGTGTGTAAAGGACAAAATATCCAAAACACAGGTTGAATTCTCTATGAGAATGAAGATGCAAAGAAATTCTTGCTATTTACAACAAGCTTGGGTCAAGTCCAGATTTTGAAGTTGGTGTGAATAGAAAACCATACAAAGGATATTTGACGTTGCTAGAACTCAAGCTTGTGGATATATTATCGTTTACTGAGTACCTTTAAAAAAAAACCCACCAGATAAAATTAAGTATACAAAATCAGTCCTCCAGTGATGTTATTCCCAATTCTGTCAGTTAACTTGATATGGGATAAAAGGTAAATTGGATATTTCAGCATAATACAGTAAGATGATTCCATTTTTTTTGAGACCATGCTATCCGAGCAGATCCATTTTTAGGGGAATACTAAATAAAAAGCAAGATGACAGCTTGCTAGGTCAGGAACTGCTAGACCTTCATTATTTTAAACAGCTTGGAGCACTGCAATATTTAGCCAGTGTGTGTGTGCATGTGTGCTTTTTCAGAAAATTTTACAACAGGGGTTTGCAATGTTCCAAGGCTATGCTTTGGCAATAAAAAATAATGTCTCATTTACAAAGTGCAGGAACTCAGGGATTTTATTCTCCTGGATGTAACTTCAGTTCTTTTTTTTTTTAAGTACTAGGATACTTTAAGAACTGCGTTTAGTCAGCTGTTGACTAATGGTTCTTAGCTCTTCATGAAACAGATAATGACTTTGCATAGAATATCAAACTCAATAGAAACAACCACAGTAATGGAAGAAATCTTTGTTGTAGAGTTATTACATGAATCGAAACACTGGCAAAACAGAAACATTTCTAAGGAAAACATCACCAGATTTTGATGAATACCACCTCTTTTGATGTGCCTGCTACTTCTTCTCTTCTCTGTAATTGTTTTTGAAAGGTTTGTTAAGGAATTTGTGATGACTTTTGATAGCTGAAACATAAAGCACTTAATGGGAACCAGAAAGCTATTTAAAGGTTTGTAATAAATTCATATATTGCCATTATATTTCTCTCAGATTGTAATGTCTCTTTTGTACTCCAGATGCCATCTCAAAAAATAAACTTCGTACAGAGCATATGGATCAAATTTTAGCCAGAAGGGAAAAAAATTGTTGACTTGGCACTTGGTATTTGTGACCCACGGAGTACTTTTACAGCCAGCCAAGTCATCAGTTTCCTTTTCTGCTAGGCAGTGGCAGCTCTGACTCCTGAAGAACACCTTTGCACGTGAAGCCTGGGTAACTTAACTCTGGCAATGATGAATGGGTACTGCAACTGACTGTAACTTAGAAAATTCAGTGCTCAGCACTGGAACTGTAGCAAACCCGAAAAACTGAAAAATGGATGGCAGGACTGAAATGATGTAGAATACTATGGAATTATTTAATGGGTTCCTACTCTAGCAAAGTCCTTGAACTAAGTAAGTCAAACCAGAAAGGACCTATCAGAAAATGCACACTGTTCTCTTGAAGAAAAGATTGCAGGGTGAGAAACCCACCAACATAATGATGGTAAGAAGCAGGGATCTCAGATATCACAGACAGGATAAGAACTGAATAGAGTGTGGTCACAAGCATCTTAAAATTAGCCCTGTTCTTTTGACTCTTTCTCCTTGTTTTTTGGGAATCTTTTTTCTTGGGATACTTTTCATTTTTTGGTGCCTGTGTGCAAATCTTTTCAGTCACTTCTGTTCTTGCAGTTCACTGCTGAGTGTTATGTAGATGTGCATGCTGTGTACTGCTCCTGAAAGAAAAATATCCATGAAATGAAACCAGGACCATAGCAAAGTGCAATACAGAGACCATATTTTATTACTTAGGTTGTAAAGTAATTTACTGTTCAGTTGCTCATACAAAAAGGCTGCTGAAAGTAATAAAAAATTCAGGAATGCCTAAACCAGTAATTTTAATCAAAGGTATTTTTTCCTTTGTTATTAAGATGAAAGTTAATTTTAAAAGACTGTATTAATACCAGTTTTAAAAACTTAGAACACTGTAATTAAATTTTGAAAGTGTTTTTCTCCTAACGACTAAGAGGACAGCAGGGACATATCCAGATTTCTGTGCTTATGTGGAAATCACATGTATTTACTTATTGCTAATTTGGTGTGGCTTGTTGTAAACCTAGCAACAGTTTTTGTGCTTTCTTGGAAAAAAGAGAAAAGACTGCTATCGGTAAAGCTCCTTTTCCTATTATACCATGTCACTCAGCCTATGCTCTCTGCAGGAGACACCTGAACTCCCATATTTTAGCAGTCAGAAAGCTTTTCTGTCAGGGAACTGCTGAATACCTTCAACTAGGTAACAGTATCATGAAGCTCTTGGTAAGGAACTGTCTGTGTTCATGTCTCTCTAAAGTACCTAATCCATATCAAAGGATAACCTGTCACTTAAGTCTCATGGGAGCTGTGGGGGTTACAAGATGTGTCTGTTTAGAAAGCTAATTCTACATTTGGCCTTGGAAGCTTTCCCAGCCACAGCAGGACTGCTACTGTGTCTCCCAAGACAACTGGAAAATCTAGATTATATGTCTGGGTGAGAATTAAGAGAAGGAAAAATGGTCTAGGGAAAAAGGAAGCAAGAATGACAACAGACACCAAGAAAATCCTTGGTAGGTATTCAAAAGTCATCTGAACATAGTGTTGGGCAATGAGCTGTGAGTCTGTTGTAGCAGGGGGCTTGGACCAGTCCCTTCCAACCTCAACCATTCTGTCATTCAGTGGGAGGAAAGAAAAAAAAACCAAACCAAAACACAGAAATCCTCAAAACTCTGAGGTTTTAACAGTGAGATCTTGGCATCTATCTAATTGTACAATATGCAATTGTAGACAATTATGCTATCTTTAACTGCCTCCTTTAATAAATTCTCTTTTCTATTCATATTGCTGATAGTCTTGTTTCTTTTCTTCAGTCCTCTTCCTGGTCTACACAGAGCAGTGACAGTTAGCAGGTCCTGATATGGCCATGTCCCTACACATCTGGAGGTGCTTCTACTTTGAGAAGTCAGGCTGTGTAGGGCTATAGAAACATATGCTCTCATTTTTGCATCATAGGAGGGGGCATAATTTTACAAAGTGGGAGACTTTTACTTATTGGAGCAGTCTGCGTTCTGTTGAGATTGATGAAATTTTACAAACATCCTCATCTGATGGGACTCATTAGAGCCACTGTAGAGAACCTGAATCACTGGCAATTACCCTTATGATTGCATGATCCTCATTAGGCTGATTAAACTAGCATAGCACCATATTATGTAGGTGGCACCAGGCAATACTTTGCTGAAGAAGAAACACTAAAACTCTGAGTTGATACGAATTTTAGGAGACTACCCACTGAGAATCCAAATAAAAAAAAATGTGCCATTTTTAAATGACTACTATGGAAACAAACACTGCCTCAGTAAGGCTGGGATGAGCACATTCCAGCAAACCATTAAAGAATTCTACAGGCTCCTGCTTACACTACAGGATGTGCTGCAAGCTCTTTGTAATACACTTACACTTGACCTCCTTCTAGGTAGAAGCTTGAGGTTTAGGTCAGTGCAGAAGCCTTTGAAGTCAAACAACAGTCAATGGCTATGAGAGCGGAACTCAGAATCTTTTGACTCCTGACAAAATTCATTCTTTTCTTTAGTGATTTCTGAATCAGGAGACGCTTGTACTCTTGCATTTGCAGAACACTGCTTGATTGGGAACAGGCAGCCTGATTCAGCAGTTGTGCTGAATGTTCCCAATAGTCTTCAAAGCTGTTTTGTGTTTTTTAAAAAAATCCTTATTAAAAAAAGGTATTTTTTTAACCAAACAGGTTAATGTTAGTACAGCAGAATCAGTTATTGCAGAAGAACAGAAGTGTCAAACCCCAAGAAGCATGTTTTTGCTTATTCTTCTCTAAAGAGGGAGAGAGAAAAAAAAGGTTATGATCCTGCTTCCAGAAATGGTGGGATACTAATTACTTGAAGACAAAATAAACACTGATTCTTTGATGTACCTATTAACTCACTACTCTCTGAATCAAGCTGAGTATTTCTCACTTGCTCCATCACGCCCTTGGCTGCTTGCTGGAACTCAACACAACCTGCGACCAGGACGCACCTGCATAGCTACTCCAATTATTCCATGAAAATACTCGTTGTACCTAACTGGGAATTTCATTGGCATCATAAGGCAGGTAGCATTTTAAGATTCAAAGATAATTTAAACAGAAATTAAGGGAAAGCGCTGGCTGCAGTCCTTGCTGCCGGCAGCGCGACTCGTTTCACTCCTCCGCGACCTTCCCGCAGCCGAAGTTTTCGCGTGCCGCTCAGGTGCCTCACGCCGGGCGGCCCGCGGCGCTCACCCGCGCCCGGGGCACCGGAGCCAGGTGGGAGACCCGCAAAAGCCGGCGGGGAGGGAGGGCTGCGGCTCCTCCAGGGGCAAGCCCGTCGCCGGGCGGGCAGGGGAGCGGCGGAGGCAGAGCAGCCCCCGCCTCCCGCCCGCTCTCCTCCCCCTTCCCCCGCTCCCGCCTTTTGTGCGCCGAGCCCGGGCGTCAACGGGCGCCGGCGGCCGCGGAGCTGACAGGAGCCCGCGGCTATCGGCCTCGGCAGCGGCGCTGTGGCGAGGGCGGCAGCGCTGAGCCGCGGCCGCTCCCGTCACCAAGGCGCTGCCTGGCACAGAAACACAGACAGAGACGGACTGACAGACACACGCAGCGCGGAGCGGCGCGGGCTCGGGGGCCGCCTTTGTAGCTCCTCTCCTCCTCCCTGCACCATGCTCCGCTCCAGGCAGCGCCCGCCCGCTGCTCCCTGAGGGCAGCCAGCCCCGTGCCCGGCAAAGCGGGCGATTGACACCCGGCTCCTTCCCCGCGGCCCCAGTTACCTGAGTTAGCTCCGTCCCGGGCACTTTGGCAGCGCCTCCGCCCTTTCCCGCTGTGGCAGCCCTAGTGCAGCGCAGGAGCGAGCCGCCAGCAGCCGGAGGGACTGCAGCCGCCGCCGGGGAAGACGAGCTCGAGCCCCCGCCTCCAGAGCTCTTCATGGCGTCTCACCAGCAGACGAGGATCCAAGCCTACCTGGAGAAGAATAAGATCGGTCCCCTCTTCGAGGTAAGGTGCGCTCTTGCCGGCCGGCTCCTCCGCGGCGGGCAGCGGTGGGGGCGGGGGTGTCCCCACGATGCCGTGGCCCCCGCGCAGCCCAGGTGAACCTGGGGGCGAGGATGAGTTTGAGGCGCTGCTTCGGCAGTGCCGGCACCCCTCACTCTGTCCTGCCGCCCCGCACCACGCGTGTGCCCAGTGTCCCTCCTCCGCGCCCCTCCGAGCGCCGGAGCTGCGCGCAGCCCTCCCTTCCCGGCTATCCCGAGGATCTGCCCCGCTTCTTCGCCCCACCACGAACGCGCCGCCCCCTGCTTCGCACGATCCCGCACCGGTCGTCAAACAGGTGCCCCTCCGCCCCGCCGCCCACGGCCCGAGTCTCCGGGGCCGCCCCCGCGGCGCTGCGCCGTGCGCTGCGAGGGGAGGCGGCGCTTCCAACCCCCGCCGGCTCCGGGGCGGCAGCGCTGAGCTCCGGGCGCCGCTCGGCCCGCGGGCGAGCCCCGAGGCGCTGCCCCTCCGGGACCGGCCGGCGGGGAGGGACAGGTGGGTGCCTCCCACCGGGAAACACACCCTCTGCAGCGAGCGCTCGGAAAGAAGTCTGTCCTGCGAAAAGTCCTTGTTGTTGGTGTTTTCTGAGATTTTTATCTGCAGTCACACACCGTGTTTTTGCTATAGGTTTAAGGTTTTCTTACAGCGATGCACTTGCAGGGATTTGTAGATTCACAGATGTGCATATTTTACTATTTCAGTACATAAGCTGTGAATACTTAGAATTTGAAAGGGTGCTAGAGCAATCGTGATTATTACCATTTTATCATCCTGTTTCTTATGCAGTTTTAAACGTCTAAATGCACATATATTATGCACTGCACTCTGGCAGTATCACAAGGCACGAGTCTCCTTTTTTTGGTATTTAACTTGTTCTCAATCAAGCTTACTATGTATGAAATCTCTTTTATTCTGGTGTGGTGGATGCCTCATTTTCAGTGTATATTTTGCCACCCTCCATGAGAAAGGTTCAAATTTTGTTAGAAAATTGTTCACTAATGGTCTGGTTTTATATTTTTTTGTGTGCATAGGCTGTTGAAATAGACTATGCTGGTTCAGTGCTAGCAGTGTTTTTATTTTGCAATAAATAAAGCCCCATTTGATGGAACAGTACCAGGGTACTAGGGAACAGCAGGTGATTTTTCTAGTTAAGAAATTGATAAAAATGTAAACGTGTGGTTCAATTCCTGGATAAAATTCTGTTCAATCAGCTGTGTTGCTAGGTCTAAGTACGTAACTGACACTTGTTTATTTCAATGGGAATTCAGTGCTTTGGGGTTGTTCAAGGGTTAGGCCCTTGACAGCTCTCATTTTCTTTTAAATTTTTTTAACCCATACGTTTAAAATTCAAGTGAACCACTTGACATCTCTGTTCTGAGTCACTGTGTGTTAACCTAGTTTCTCCGCAGTATAAGATGTGTGTCACTATTTGGATTCTTGTAGGATGTTTCAATTGTCAATAGTGGAGAGAAAGATTAAGAAGTTGTATTTGTTCAGCATTTCATGTATCACCACGTTTCACTAATCTTTGTAATGTAAGAATTTCATTGTGGTAGAAAGAATCTGTGAAAGGCTCTTTGCATAACTGTACAGGCTGTCTACAGGTTCTTGGTGCACTCCTGTATACCAGGAAGACTTTTTGGTGTGAAATCTACTTACACCTGAATACTAGCGACTGGTTTTAACATCTAGGGGTAGAACATTCCTGCAGCTGTTTGCAGTTACTTTAGTCCATTACACTGGGGAGAAGAAGAAGATCATAATTCTTATCTCCTCTACTTCCTGATTGGCCGTTTAAAATCTCCTTACATATTTAATTTTTGATGTACTTTTTGTTCTCAACAGTTTATTGAAGATCTGCAGCCTGTGCTTGATCTTGTAGTCCTTAGAAAAAGAAAGACAGGTATTTGAAGTTGATAGGAATTGATCAAAGAAGATGCACGGATGAATCTTGTACTCTACACTGGTATTACTATTAGATGTGCTTTGTGGTTTTTCAAGAATGCCACATGTTCACAGTCAGATATAGTCACTAACTAACATGTCAGTTTTCACGTGTCTAAAAGTTCTGGCACGTTGCAAAAGGAGACCTGTGCTTCATCTTTCATCCAGGGACAGCTAGCATTTTCTTCTACCACTTCTGGTTTGGATGGTAATTAAATGTCACTTGCCATGGATGACAGCCATCTTTTTTTTCAGGGAGTACTAGTTTTCTAATACTCAGAACAGAGTGGACTTGGATTCAGTTTTCTCCAGTGTTATTTACTGAGCAGGTTGTGACTGTAATTGCTCAATATATGCTTCAAGTCAACATTTTAGGGAGTGCATGAAATAAAACTGGGTAGCTGAGGACAGTCACGGGAAAGAAGGACGGAGAGAGGACCTGTGAGCTTTCTAGGACGAGGGCAGGGATAGTGATACATAAACAGACTGTATTTTGTACTTGCATAATTAATAATCAGTGATCAGTGGGACTTTGCACCACTGATTTTAGACATTTACAAAGGCACGGAATGCTGGTGGATGGAACAGTTGGCGGTGTACTGAAGGTGAAGTACAATTCCCCTGCATTACAGTTAAGAGCAGTAGTTGCTCTTGCTAGTAGGTCATAGTGTTCCAGTGTCCTGGTTGTGTCTCTTTTCTCCATGCAGTCCTGTATTTACACGCAGGCCTTCTGTTACTGTGGTTAGGGATTTTTGTACTTCATTAACCAGCAGTACCTACTTAAGAACATCTTTGCTGAAGTTTTGTGGTTTGACACTTGAATTATATTCCTAATTTGTGTGAAAGAGAAGTGTTCAAGAGAAGTGCTGACGCCTGAGATGCTTTCCTTCTCTGTAAAGAAATGTGAGGAGTAACCTCCTGGAGAAAGAATTAATGAGTTTAAGCTGACTCAGCAGGCATTGGCCTTCTACTGACTACCAGTATCTGTTAACACATAGTAGGAAGCCTGATCCACTCTTTTATGAATGGTTACTCAGCCCAGATTCACTTGATTCCAAACATTTTTACAAGGTAAATTCTTATTTATGGGTTAGAGGTGGGAAGGAAGGTGGGTGGGAATTACTGTGTACATCTGAGACTGCGTCTATTTGGAGGTTTAAGACAGGTTGCAAAACAACTTAGATACTGCAGCCTCATTTTCCCTTTTGAATGTAGGTCCCCAAGTCATGACTTCTCAGAACTGTTACTTCTCTGCCATTTAATCTTTCAGGTGCCCAAAAACAAGATTTTTGCAAGTAAGATTGCTGTGAACCTATAATGCAGCTTCTAAGTGCCCCAGGGCATACAACTGTTGTTAGTGCTGACAGTAAAGTCTTAAATTGACCCCTTATATTCTGTCAGGCTACATGAGCATCCTTATCCTGTTTTGTGTAGTTTTTGTGTGTGGTGGGTTTCTTTTCTTTTGGTTTTGAAAGCTTAGACATCTATCTGTATGAGATTGTTGGCATCTGAGAATACTGTGGTTAGACAACGAGTTTAGATTTGAGGAATGCCCTTTAGAAATGCCTCTTTTCTGGGATTTTTGTGGTAACACATACCATGGCACTACCTGATTTTTTTAGATTTTCTTTTTTTTTCACATTAACTTGGAATGTAACAAGAATTCTAAACATGAATTATTTCTGTGATGAAATTTTGCTGTTGTTTTTTTTTTATTCCATCTTTCTAAAATGCGAACAGGAGGTATGTGCCTAAAATTGGCTAGGACAGAGTATTCAGAATCAGCACCCACTCATTTCTGTCTGAGTGAAGTATTGACCCACTTTGCATTTCAAGCATCCAATCGAACAAGTTCTTTTTGTGTGCTAATAATCTCAATGAATAATCCTGCTGCCTGTATCCATACATCTCATCTTCTGTACAAGTGTATCTCTTTAGCATCCAGTTGTGCTCTCATTTGGGCAACCTGACACTTAGTTTTTGTGAATTTGAAAGATGGATCAGCACTCTTGAGAACAGATTGCAATAAATCTTCAAGAGCTCTGAGATAAATTTAGTGGTTTGGAATTTTTTTATTTCTGGAAGTGCAGCTAAAAAGCATCCAGCAGGTACATTGTTGTTATGCAAACCCAAGAACTGTAATTTCTTCGAGTTATAAAAAGCCGAAATAACTCTTCTCAAAGTAAACATGCCAAACTCCTGGTTACCTAAGATTTTTTTTTCTCCAAGTAATGTGGGGTTAGAACTGTAATTTTTATTTCAAAAAACAAAAAGGCTTTGTAATACCACCCTTAGCTTTTTTTTTCTTTTCTTTCTTTAGCAGACATAATTACTGAAGCAAATACAATAGGAAACTGTTTTGTTTGTTTGTTTTTATCAGTGATTTTTTTTCTTTCCCTGAATAAAATAGCATTATTGGTGTATATTATGCAGTGGTGTCCATTATTTAAATAAAATAACTACACTTTTCACTTAAACCTTAGCCTGTTTGGTGATGAACACTATCTATAGTGCATCTTATGACCAACTTAGTCAAAGTTTGGTGATGAATTTTTGAGTTTTGAATTGTCTTTTGAACCGCTGTCCATGTTGGGAAGTTACTACTTGGTTTTAAATACACAAAGGTAGACACTGTGAACTTGAATATCTAATTAACCACTTCACAATTTCTCACAGTATAAAATTATGTTTCAAGCTGCAATATATGCAATTTGAATGATAGAGGTGAGTTTAAAGAATTGTTTTCTTTTGAGGTTGCTCAGAACCTCCAAATTTTGAGTATTTTGGTATTATACTTAATGGGTTAGATTCTGTTACTAGTGTGAAAGGGTCTGTATTACAGATTACAGAAATGAATTTAGTGAAGCATTTGATTTCAAGCAGCTAGATGGAGCATTTGAAAATTGCTGAGTTTTTCAGTACTTATACATC